ACTGGTGCCAGGGACTTCACACTGAGTTACATCCCCAGCTGTCTTTATTTTGGACAGTGTCTCTCTAAGTTGTCCAGAAAAGACTCGGATTTATGACCCTCCTACCTCAGACTATCAAAGTGGTGGGATTGCAGACTTTGTGCCAAACATCAGTTAATTCTTTTCTGACTTGAATTTCTCATAGACTGTAGCAGCAGAATAAGAATGTAAGATCCGATAGGACTGAGTTCTTAGAAGGAAAAACCAGCTCAAATTCAGTCTCTCCTGCTGTCCACTTACAATACACATCACTTTGTGGCCTCAAAAGGTGTGGGGGGGTGGGTTTCTCTCCTCCAGCAAGTGATCCATTTTGCTGTAGCAGACAATAGGCGTACCTTCTCCAATCCAAGTCAGTTCCGACATCACCTTCCCTCAACTCTCCGATAGCCGCAGATCCTGCAGGTTGAGGGTGTACTTCCCAAGACTGCTTCCTTTCCTGTGCCATTGAAAGCCTAGGTTTTTGAGCTTCTGACCGCCTTAAATTGGTATTCCCGCAAGCCTCCTCAGGTTTATTTAATTTGCTTGAACAGTCACAGAACTCAGGGAAATACATCCTTATGCTTACAGGGTTAGAAAGGATACAGATGAGATGTGCTGGGTGAGCAGAGAGGAGCAGTGTGGAGTTTCCATGTCCTCTGTGAACGCACTGCCCTCTGGGACCCTCCGGGGTTCAGCTGTCCAGAAGCCTTGGGGCCCTGTCCTGGATTTCTAGGAGACCTCCGTGCATGGGCATGATTGCTCATAGACTAGGAGGGCAAGCTCAGCAAGAACTGTGGTACAGGTCCTTGGCTCTGTGCAGCAGTCTTCCCTCCAGGTGATGGGGCAGGCCTGGCTATTAGACAAGGCAGGCCAGGCCCATGGCCAGGATCCATGAACAAGAGCCAAAATATATGTATACAATATCGCAGTGCCCGTGGAATGAGGAGAGGAATGGGGTTACACGTACCCACCACTTGGAAGGGCACTTCCCAGCCCAGTTGGAACACAGCGCAATGAATGTTAGTTTTCCTGTAAGCGGAGCAGGAACAAAGGAAAACCAGGCTGAGAGTACCCATTTTACAGTTCCTGATTGAATTTTTTTATTTGTATGAGGGAAGGCTGAAAGAAACAGAAGACAAATATAGGAGAGAGAACATTCTAACTTTAAAAGATGTAGCTATGTATACCATGCTCTTCATTTTCATTTCTCATTAAAATGCTATGTCAGCCAGTGCCTGAGTAAATCTCACCCTTCTTTAGGTATCTTCTAAGTGGGCAACTGCTAATTGGGCAGAAGATACAGGTTTGTTCTTTTCTCTGGTGCAGGAGTCTCACTTCTGCTGGTGTTTTATCTGGCCACTGTTGGGTGATTACATGTGAACCAGAAACCACCCCTCATGCTGTTGTCGCCTTTCTTGTGTGAAGCCGGATCTCAGATTCCAGAAGTGGTGTGGGTTGCTACCATGGCCTGTGGGTCTAGAAGATCCTAGGTCACCACGCCACTG